AGCTGAACAGCTTCTTCCAGTTCATAAGCATGAACAACACGAACGGCATCCCCAATTTGGCCATCGAGCCCAACATCGGCGGGTCCAACAACGGCGAGGTGATCTTCGGCTACGGGCACCTGAATGCCTCGGACCGGCGGCTCAAGAAGAACATTCGCCGCGTGCCGGGCCAGCACCTCCAAAAGCTTTTTGATGCGGTGGAACCCCAGTACTACGACCGCATCGGCGGAGGCAAGGACCAGGTAGGCTTTATCGCCCAGGATGTGCAGGCCCCCGGCAAGCTGGCGCGGCCCTCTGTAAGACCATGAGCGCGGCGTTTCGAAGCTTCTTCTTGCATTTGTTGGAGCTCTTTCCAATCGGCATCTGAGCAACAGCCAGTTCTGGAACGGCGGGCACCTTCTATCTGCTTTGGGGCACCAACGACGCTCAGCCGCCACTGGCCGAAACGTCAAACAGACCACCCAATTGCGCTCAGGTTTGCGTCAAGTGCTTCATCTGAATTTTGAAGGAAGCTCGTTTTAATTAACTTCTTCAATGGGGCTTGCAAAGAGACTTGAAGCCCTCTTCGAGAATTCTGGACTTAAAGGAGTTCTCAAAGAAGTTTTGAAGAGAGAAGAGACTTCAAGAGGGACTTGAGAAGCTTCATCTTTTCAAGCCTCCTTTCAAGGTTCCTTCAAGTCTCTCTTGAACCTTTCACCTTCAGCTCCCTTCCTCTCAGAGGAGAGGTTCTCAAGCCACCGTCTTCTTGATGGAGCGCTTTCGAGTGGCTTTTGCTTGTTGGGTTGTTGTTGTTGCGCGTGGTTGCTTCTTGTGGCGAATCAAAGCGTTTTTGCTGTGTTTAATTTATTTTCATCATTTTGAACCCCCCTGAAGCGATTTCATGTGGCTTTTTTTGTTGGAGTTTACAGGGTGGACGAGACCGTTATCGTCCTGCCAATGCTCTCGTAAGAAAGCTTCCATTCCGAAAGGTTAGCACAGCATCACCACAAAAAATGAACTGAAACAAAATTCTGTGTATTTTTCGTGACGTTCTTTTTTTTCCTGTGTTTTGTCAGTTTTTTGCCAACTTCAATGTTTCTCTTAGCGCCCGTTCTTTCCACACTTTGCAAGTGAATTTCTGTGTTGTGTTGTGTTCTTTGTTTGTTTGGTGGTCCTGTATTGGATGTTCTTGGTGTTGTGTAGGTTGCGCTGTTGTCGCTGTCCTAAGTTCACAGAATTCTGTTTTGACCCGCAAAGTGCAAGCTTTGGTTTCAAAGCTTGGAAATTTGGATTTGCTCACATCGGCAGTCCATAGCAGGTTTGACAGTTGGGAACTTCTGTGACAAAACGACAGACCGATGCACGTCCACGTGCTGTGTTTTCAAGAATGACTTGCGTACATTGATTTAACGACGAATCGATTGAGGCACGCCGTTTCGCACGCTGGTTGTGGGAATTAAGAAATAATGTCATTGAGGCGGAAGTGGTGAAGAGCCGCAATCACGTCAAAAACTTCACATGTAAGTATAAAACGAAAGATCAGCTGCAAGAAGATTGAATGGTTCTGCTTTTTGAACAGTGGCACACGGCACGCTGCCCGCGGAAAGATTTCCGCCCCTCCCGCGCTAACTTCCTGGAAGAAACAATGAATGAGTTTATCCATGCTCAAAGATACATTTGCAGTTATGTCGCTAACGAAGTTTGGAGCAACAATTCTTATCAGATCATAGTCCGAGGCCTGCGTGCGCTGGGTCCAGACCAAGTTCCGTCCGAATTGATACACGAAGGGCTCAAACCCAAACCCTGAAGACGTGTTGCGAATTCGAGTTGTGCTGCCCCCTGAGAATGTAGGATGTTTCTGTTCGATGATTGTAAGCATGGTTTTCAAACAAGGGAAACTCCGTCCTCCTAGCACCACCCAGACGTCGTCATGGCGGTTGCGAATTCTGTAAGATACACGAACGGACCAGGTGTCTTCTGAAAAGTGCAGGCCACACCAAAACTTTCCTCAAAGTCTGGTGACTGCCACTTGGCTCAGCGTTCGCCAAATTGCAACCCGTCTTGGACGTGCGTAGCTGCACAGGCCGGTGCTGCATTTGCATGTCGGGTTTTCCCAAAGCCATCTGAACCCTGACCTGTAGGATTCTTGGACGCCTTGCATGTCATGTGTTCCAAAAGAACATTAAACTTAAAATGCATCTGGGCAGGTCTACAAGGAGGACGGGCGATGACTGGTCGAAGCGGCTGCTTTGCTCACTAGACGACCTGGGAAGTCACAGACATGTTAAGATTGAGCACGATTGTCTGTGCATGGTGCCGTTGCCAAGTTACCACAACTGCGGTTGCCGCCGCCGCTGCCACGACGACTCTGGCAGCAACTGTGGGATGGGAGGCAGCAAGTTGTTTTTCCTCCTTCATACATCCTTGTTGGAGAGAACCCTCTTCGGCGACACAGGCTTTCCTTGCTCCTTCGTCGGCTTCGTCTGTTGAGAAGCGCACTGGCACATCTCTGCGACGGAGGCCTGCTGCGACAGATTTCGTGATGTTTCGTGCAGCTTGCATGGCCGGTTCTTGCCCTTGACTGCAGGTCCATCGACACCGCGAGCAACAATTCGCATGGCCCGGGATCCGGGTATGCACACTCAAAGTGCAAGGTGTTGCATGGGTTGTGGTGGACAGGGCTTTTGCGTCGAAGTTCGCTGCTGCATTTCTCCATATGCAGAACCCAAGGCCGAACTTTGGCAGCACTGAGCGTGTGTGCCACAGCAGCAGCAGCGCGGAGCTCAGGAAAGTCCAAAAAGGCCTAACTAAGCCCTGTTTTGTCACGGAAACAACCGGGAAAGGAATTCCCAAGAGTGAGTGAGCCGATTTGGAAAGCGAGCCGGGAATTCAGAAACTCGGTTCGGACGACGGACAGAACGTTGAGGGTTTAGAGTCTAGAGCTTTGGGGGATGAGATTGGGGTTTAGGGGTGGTGTATTTCTGCCAGAGTTTTTCTTCAAGCAAGTGTTGCTATCCAGTTTTTGGTAGTTGCCTTCTTATTCTTGACCGTTCGTCTTTTTATGAATGGATCCTCCGCGTTCCCGAACTTCCGAAGTTGCCAGCTGCAGGAGCTCATTTCTGATATTGGAGGGGCTGAGCGAAGACATCGGCTGAGGCTCTCACCTCGTCCCGGCGAGGGCGAGCAGCCCGACAGGCTGAAGAAGTTCTTTTGTTTCCGTCTTGTCAAGCCTTTGTTTGCACGCCATGCTGAAAAGGCAGTAGTTTCCTCGGATAGCGAGAAGAAGCCCGCGAGTGCCTTAGTGCCTTAGTGTGCTGCAAGAGGTAGGGGGCCGCGGGTTATCCATGATCTTCTCTGCCTTGAGGCCATGTCGCAGGCCTTGCCGTTCATGACGGTGCCCGCACATTTGAGGACATGCTTGCAGGGCATGGAGTTCTGTTTTCT